ATCTTACCGGGAAAAGATGGGCTTCTGATATCCAACATTTAAGACAAAATTAACATTTTACAATTGGTACACGAATCGTGTACCATAATGCGTTTCAGCGCTATTTGTAATAAGCGACTCGAAAAACGAGGCTAGTCATATTCCACAAGTCATGTCAATCGGTGACGCTATATACTTATCTGGAGAGCATGCCCAATAAATACTATCGGCGTAAACTGGAAAAAAACAGACGCTAGAGATTAAAATTCGATTGAGAATACTGGCGTATTTCGCCGAACCTAACTGATTAGAAATTACAGTAACTACAATGTCAATGGGGTGAAAAACTACTAAATTCTCGATGAATATTTCCTTTTCGGGACATTGTGGGCGGTCTATAGTAAATGTTACTCGATCATTTATGTCTTTATTTCTGTCGTTTCCCCAAAGCGGGTCATTCGTAAAGTTATCTCAATATCAAGTCAACACTATTCCGGGAGGTGCAGAAAGGTAGGACGTCAGATCCTGTTTCATTCATGGAGCCTGGAAGTCGGGTGTTCGATCCCTGCATTGGCCGAGAAAGTTCATCCCGATTTTCCGACGTGGTTTCCCCTTGTCAGTGATGCAGGACGGAGGGCCTGACAAGGACAGCTGTCTAGTCCTTCGGATGAGACGAAAAACCGAGGTCCCGTGTAAATAATGGAATGCACGTAAAAGATCCCTTGGCAGTTGGAATTCGATATAAGAGTAGGCGATAGCACACTGTATGGCGTATGCCCGTCTTCATTAGCCCAGTATAGGAGCAGAACAGTAGGACGTTAAACCCCATTTCATTTCATTTTCATTGTTTCATTCATTAACTCGACAGAATCGCACACGAAAAGACTGTAAGAACAAACGCATTTTGTTAAACTCACCAGGTATAAATGAAAGTTCATTGGTGATCTTTATCGATCCGTAAACCACGCTCATCAATATACACACTTTAAGATCAGAGATTATTACTAATCAGTACCTTCATTAAATTACATGAAGCGAGAGGATACGGAGTTCTGAGAAATGAACTGGTATGTATATTTTTAACCTGGATATTCATACATTGTGTTATATTGTTCTTGATATAAATCGGGACTTTTAATTTCTAAAGACGTTTATAGAGGGCAGACAGCTAGCTTATATAAGGAAGATCCCTTTAAGGGAGCACCTTAATATCTGCGGTAAAGGCGAATTCAAAATATACCCGATCTTTAAGATGGCATATGCAGATCCCATGAAAATGAGTTCGAAAGAACATTTTTTTTATTATTATGCTATATACATAAACTTCATTATTATTTTATTATTGTATTATTATTCTTCCATGACGTCACGTTATTGCTATTGTTATTTTATGTCTTGACAAGTTGAGTCGAAAAATCTACACAATAATACAATAGTATACTTCCCTTCAGTATTTTAAATCTTTATTTATGAATATTGGATTTATGAATAAAACTTGGGCTCTGTTTGATAGACTTATTAACAGAACGTCTAAGTCTGAGCCTACTTGCACTCGATAATTTCATATTGAAACAATTAAATCATATCACATATGGACGTGAATTTAACATTGTCGTTATTTTCTTTTTTCAAATGTAAAAAAAAGAATTAACTTGTACCAACGACAAGGGAGTTGCTTATTTTTATCATTTTTTTCTTTCGCTAATTATAAATACTCGTAGTTTCTTTTACGCACTGATTTCTTCCTATTCAGAGCATTACTGCAAATACTGCAAATAATGCGTATATTCAAAATCCAAACAAAGTGTTAATGTTTTTAATTATTATATTAAATGTGAGCTGAGAAAATAGAATGTCGCCTGAAAGAAAATATAGACTTATTGTGTTACGTGATTTTTTTTTTTTTTTTTGGGGGGGGGGGAGGTAGAGATAAATAAAAATGAAATCAAATTCAAAGTATGATATGTTAAAGATGCATTATGTAAGAGCTAAATCTGGTTATTGCAGGTCTTTATCTTGTCAAACCTCCAACTCTTTATCTAATCTTACATAATGCATCTTTAATAGGTAACGATATATTCTATTCACAATAATAATGATCTGAATTGAAATATTAACATTTTGAATGTGTATTAGAAAACAAAGTTATTAAAGAAGCATTTTGTAAGAGCTAAATCTGCCTATTGCAGGTCTTTTCAAAGTTGGCTATTTCAAAATGTTAACATTTCAATTCCATCATTATATTTTCTCCTTTATGAATAAATTACAGCGTCATAGCGGGACTGGGTAAATAAATAGATCATAAAATATGCTTGAATGATTTAAGTAAATATTTGTTTTTCATAAGTGTAATGTGTATGTATCCACTGGGGAATTTCCTCGTCCACCAAACATTCCTCCACAACAATTTTCTGAAAAGAGAAAACCAAAAGAGCGTGGGTATGCAGGTAACCATAGCAACTTTGTGCATCCACGTATCCACGTTGGAATTGCCAAACATCACTCTATACAGAAAAAGCATGATACCAATATATATGTATTTTGGGTGCATTCTTCTTAGCGTATCATCTTGAAACTGTGCATACTTATTCTTTGTACCCTAAGGAACATCCCCCTATCGTTTGGGGTGCATGCCTATTTTCTTTTTGAGTGTCTGTGTGTCGCCTACAGGCCACAATTCTTAAGTGATCATCTTGAAACTTTACATTCTTATTCCTTATACACTAAGGATGATCCCTATTGTTCTGGGCGCATGCCCGATCCCCAGGAGCAGAGCCACGCACATTTCTTGTATTAGTTTGTTTGTCGTCTACAGGCCGCATTTCTTACCATATCATCTTGAAACTGTGCATACATATTCTTTATACCCTAAGGACCACCCCTATCGTTTGGGGTGCATGCCCAACCCCAAAGGGCAGAGCCACGCCCATTTTCTTTTTGTGCGTCTGTGTGTCGCCTACATGCCACAGTTCTTAATCGATCGTCTTGAAAAAATTTCATATGAATTCCTTATACCCTAAGGATGGTCCCTATTGTGTTTGGTGCATGCGCGACCCCCCATTTTTTGTATTTCTTTTTTTGTCATCCACAGACCGCATTTCTTAACGTATCACCTTGCAACTTTGAATACGTATTCCTTCTATCCTAACCAACATCCCTATTGTTTGTGGTGAATGCCCATCCCCCAGGGACAGAGCCACACCCATTTTCTTTTTGTGTGTTTGTCACTTACAGCCCGCAATGCTTTTATCGATCGTCTTGAAAACTTTTTTATACTTATTCCTAAAGCTGACCTCTATTATTTTTGGTACATGCCCGAACCCCTGGGACAGAGCCACGCCCATTGTTTGTGTGTCTTTTGTGTCGCCTACAGGCCGCAATTCTTAACAGATCCTTTTGAAACTTTGCATACCTATTCATTATACCCTAAGGATGCCCCCAATAGTTTGTTGGTGATTGCCCAACGCCCAGGGACAGAGCCACACCCAGTTCGTAAATTTGTGCGTTACCTTTTCAATGAAGTCCGCCAAGTCGGTTAGAAGACGGAGACGTATTTTTTAACAGCGTGTTGTGTCGCGCAAAAGGTCTTATTTTCTCACTAAGATGTTCATTTATATTGTTCAGGCGTTCACAGGGACTGACACGCGACCATTTAGTAGTAAAAAGTTGCCCAGTAAAATTGACTGGGAAGCCATTAGATTTTCGACAAGGATCCAATAGGACAGTTCCTGAACGTACAGGATGAGTGTAATGAGACCTACGTTCAGAGCTGAACTAATGTATTCCTTATAGCCTAAGGTCGTCAATTATTGATTTTGGTGAATGCCCCGACCCACATGGGCAGAGCCACACCCAATGTTTGTCTTTAGTGCCCGAAGGCCACAATTCTGAATGGATTATCTTGGAACTTGGTATACTTATTCCTTATACCCTAAGGACGGCAACTACTGATGTTGTCATTTCAATAACAGGGTGGTACCTATTTGTATTGTTCCATATCCAACCCCCAGAGGCTGAGCTACACTCATTTTTGTATTTATCGTCTACAGACTGCAATTCTAAATGGATCATCTTGGAACTTTGCATATTTATTCCTTATACCGTAAAGACAGCAACTATTTATTTTGGTGCTTGCCCTGACCACCTGGGGCAGTGTCACTCCCACGTTTTTTTTAATATTTTGTCTGTAAATTTGGCAAAACAAACCCAACGCCTAGCCTTCTTTGCCTCTTGTCATATTACAGCCATTTTATATTTCATTCTCTTCATTTTAAAAAGTACCATATCAATTAAAGCTGGAATGTGGACGTATATTGCAGCGTTAGCGATGCTCTCGTTTAAAGATGAAAGTAGGGTGTCAGATGTCCCGTGTAGAATTTTCCACCACTTATTGACTTTGTCCTGCGTCCTGTGGTGATTTTGTTTTAATAATTTGCAAAATCACTGGCGTTGCAACTGAGCACAAGTAGGCTACTTTATAGGGCTATGCCTGGCGTGCGTGCGCAGTCTGGTCCGGGTTGCCGCAGGACCCCGATATAAAGCGGGCTGGATGGATATGGAGGTTTAGACCGACTTGCAGGGGCCAAACACCGACCACCCCCGCATACCTAAATACCCAAAACAGACTTAAATCTGCGCGCGCAGATTAGTAAACGGAAATTAGACAGAGCCCTAGTTAGATTAACCAGCTGAGCTTGTGGTACCTACGATTTCTAAACAATATTCATTTGTTTTATTTCAGATCCAAGATGAGCAACCATACTGTTAACGCATCCGCTTTTGTCTTTCCGATTGGAACAACAATTATCATTGGTGTAATATCAAGTTTGTTAGCCCTGTTCACGGCCGGCTCTAATCTTCTAGTGCTCATCACGTTCGCCAAGAATGAATCTTTACGGGTTTTTAGTGATTTCTTTATCTTAAATTTGGCATGTGCCGATTTTATTATTGGTTTTATTTGCATACCACCTTATATACCTTACCTATTAACAGGTGTGTGGTCGAGTGGCCGCGCCTTTTGCAAACTTTGGTTGGTCCTCGACTATGTTACCCCGGCGGCTTCAACACTTTGTATGTGTGTCATCAGTATTGACAGGTATTGTCTGGTGGTTTATCCATTAGTTTATAAAGCAAGACAGACCCGCAAAGTCCATCTAATGATGATGTTCATTCCGTGGATAATCACATTTCTGGTATACTGTCCGGCTATTGTACTGTGGGAGATTGTTGCCGGGGTTGATGACCTTCCAGAAACAGTGTGTAGGATACCATTCTACAACAACTTGCCTTATCTTATGCTTGGTGCATTCGTAGAATTCGTCATACCGTTACTAATTATCGCTACACTTAATGTGATTATATTCCTTAATATCCGTCGCAGAGCAAAAGTTGGGACAATAATTGGACCAATAAAACCCCAAGTAGCAACCATACCGCTGCCATCTAGGACCAGCGTAGTAACTTCATCAAGACCAATTCAACGGGAAGTTAGTCGCGACAGAAAGGCTGCTAAGGCATTATTTATTCTCGTGTTTTGCTTTGTTGTATGCTGGTTGCCGTTTGAAGTTATGTCCATGTTGTCCAGTGTCTGGCCATTTGCTATTAACCCTGTATTATTTGAAGTCGGGTTTTGGATATTGTGGTGTAACTCGGCATTAAATCCAATCCTTTATCCATTTTTACACCCGAGGATGAGAAAAGCTTTTTTTAAAATAATTAGATCAAACTGTTCTTGCAAATGATTTTGATTAATAGTAACCATGGGGCAATTCAGCTGATTGTCTTGCTAATGTAACAAAAAAAATCAATACATTAACTTGTCAGTAACAGTTATCAATAAGTGGTCATCTATTAAATAACGATATTTATACCGTGTTCAGATAATCTACATTAGCAGTTCGAACCGGAGAATGAGGAATAATTTCTGATAGACACCAAATGTCCAAAGGCTAATAAACGTTCCCTTAACCAAAATGTTGTTCTTTAAATACATGGTAATCTAGATGATAAGATGCATTATGTGAGAGCTAAATCCGCCTTTTGTAGGTTTTATTTTGGCTTCAAATGTTATATAAACTGTTATTGAAACATTTATTAACTCTCTAGTTCATCGGATTACTCCGATTTTAAGTAGATTAGAACGCTTTGGTCATTTACTGATTTAATTTAAAATTGGAGAAGCGAGACTAGGTCTCTAATAACAAGTACCGTTGTTACGATAATAAACAATCAATAAACATATTGTCAAAACTCCAAACAGTGATAACTTCGCTCAGGATAAAGTAATATGAATGTAATTCTCCATATATACATTTTGCATTATCTATTTTTGAACTATTATAGCAAGAACAACCAGCTCTGCATCTAAATTTTACTTGATGCATCTTTAAAGTAAAAGACGCGGGTTAGATGCCACCATTCCATGTTTATAAATAGAAATCCCAATGTTATCTTACAAGTTTAGGACCAAAATAATGGCGATATGAACATGGTAAAAATTAATGTGAATTTTAGATGGTCATAAGGTATGTTGAACACGCGTGCTGTATGGTAATACTATTTTTTGATTGTATACCAGTACATTCTGCTAAATTCTAATGAAAGATGAAGGTCGTATTTCCCCTGAACCATGATTTGAACAACGGAGCTACCAACGGAGCTACATTGGCTGGTTAACCTGACCTAAATTTTACATTTAAAAAGTAGCAAATAAATAGCATATAGTATTATTCGACTGAGTGGTTACTTGTTGCTAACATGAATATACATTTATTTATTTCTATATATACTCTTCCAAAAAAGTAGTTTTGATATTGAAATGCAAATACCTATGCTTTGAGAGTGTTCACAGATGAAGAACTTATGGCCCCAACAGAGCCACTGAGTTGCTCGTCCGACACGCAGTAGCGCCATACACTTGGGAGGGGTTCATTGTCAAATTTGACACTTCAAGGAAGAGTTGATGAAAACTGTCGCTTGCTGGTTTATCCTATCCATGTTTGCTTTCCTATTGGGTCTTGCATAAGAATTACTGTTTAGCGTATCTTTGCTTTAGTGCGTTACGTTTAATTTGACTGGGAGACGTCGACCTCAACGTCAACCGACAACACTGCAAGAATTGGCCGTGGCACTGCAAGAGAAGTGGGTCAGATTGCCCCAAATCGTAATTGGACGGTTGATTAGGAGCATGCTGAATGTCTGAGGATTGGTGGAGCAATTACTCATTATTAAGACAAAAATCAAAAACGTCCATTTTCACTTTTGACAGTGTATCACTTTGCGAGTTAAATGGGGCCGTCAGATAGGCCGCCCATATGAACTGTTTATGGTCATGTGTAGGCAATTGGCCTGTTATTAACATACACTGGTTACCTCTAATAAAAACAGCAGTGTATTTCCGCAGTTTTGTATTGTTTCTGAATATCCCCTACTTTTTTTGAAGAGTATATCAGTAAACAAACTGTGTTACCCGGCATGCAGGAGTAGAATTTATCAATATTACGTTTTAGTTTTTTGGGTTTTTCAGCTAATACAAAGGAACGACCGAGCGAATTGTTTGTTTTATTAAATCAAAATTTCCGAACAAACAAGCCAACAGTGAGGCTGATGTCCCCCGCCGAAATCCCAAATTAAATAGATGACACATTTGAATTAATAGCATATTTAATTTCTTCAAAAGTATCGAGCAATCAAACTATACACTAAGTTTCATCACAATCTATCAGATTGTGTCCTCACTCTCACTTAATTAGAACTGAAGTTATCGTGTCCCAAAGCATCAACGAATCAAATTATTTATCTCTGCTTACCCTAAGCAGAAAATTCTCATCTTCGAACTCCATCAACGCATTCACCTAATAAACACCTACGCCAATTGTGAACATTCTAACTCAATTAGAATGAGAGTTTTTGTGTTCCAAAAACTCGACCAATCAAATTGCTTATCGCTCTGCTTACACTCAGCAGAAGGTGCTCATTATCAAACTTAGTCAAGGTATTGATGTGAGTGTCCTCACTCTCACTTAAACATGCATTATGCAAGAGCAAAATCTGCTTATTACAAGTCTTTCTTTAGGCCTGAAATGTTATCTAAATTGTCAATTAGACATTAATAAACTCTTGATGTCAAGGCTAGCCTTCGATGTAATGCTGGATTAGATTCTTATATGCCGCTAACGGCCAAAGATAATTAAATCAGAAAAAGTGGATAATCGAGACTATGCTGTTTATATTAATGATTTTAGTAATGATAACCGAGACTATGCAAAAATTTCACCGGTTTCTTTCTCGGCTCATAGTGGATCAATTTGACTGAAATTTTCAGCAAATTACCTTTACACTATCTAGTTTTTAACTATTATAGCGAGAACTGCCATCTCTTTATCTTATCTCCCACAATGTTGTCATTTCAATAACAGGGTGGTACCTATTTGTATTGTTCCATATCCAACCCCCAGAGGCTGAGCTACACTCATTTTTGTATTTATCGTCTACAGACTGCAATTCTAAATGGATCATCTTGGAACTTTGCATATTTATTCCTTATACCGTAAAGACAGCAACTATTTATTTTGGTGCTTGCCCTGACCACCTGGGGCAGTGTCACTCCCACGTTTTTTTTAATATTTTGTCTGTAAATTTGGCAAAACAAACCCAACGCCTAGCCTTCTTTGCCTCTTGTCATATTACAGCCATTTTATATTTCATTCTCTTCATTTTAAAAAGTACCATATCAATTAAAGCTGGAATGTGGACGTATATTGCAGCGTTAGCGATGCTCTCGTTTAAAGATGAAAGTAGGGTGTCAGATGTCCCGTGTAGAATTTTCCACCACTTATTGACTTTGTCCTGCGTCCTGTGGTGATTTTGTTTTAATAATTTGCAAAATCACTGGCGTTGCAACTGAGCACAAGTAGGCTACTTTATAGGGCTATGCCTGGCGTGCGTGCGCAGTCTGGTCCGGGTTGCCGCAGGACCCCGATATAAAGCGGGCTGGATGGATATGGAGGTTTAGACCGACTTGCAGGGGCCAAACACCGACCACCCCCGCATACCTAAATACCCAAAGCAGACTTAAATCTGCGCGCGCAGATTAGTAAACGGAAATTAGACAGAGCCCTAGTTAGATTAACCAGCTGAGCTTGTGGTACCTACGATTTCTAAACAATATTCATTTGTTTTATTTCAGATCCAAGATGAGCAACCATACTGTTAACGCATCCGCTTTTGTCTTTCCGATTGGAACAACAATTATCATTGGTGTAATATCAAGTTTGTTAGCCCTGTTCACGGCCGGCTCTAATCTTCTAGTGCTCATCACGTTCGCCAAGAATGAATCTTTACGGGTTTTTAGTGATTTCTTTATCTTAAATTTGGCATGTGCCGATTTTATTATTGGTTTTATTTGCATACCACCTTATATACCTTACCTATTAACAGGTGTGTGGTCGAGTGGCCGCGCCTTTTGCAAACTTTGGTTGGTCCTCGACTATGTTACCCCGGCGGCTTCAACACTTTGTATGTGTGTCATCAGTATTGACAGGTATTGTCTGGTGGTTTATCCATTAGTTTATAAAGCAAGACAGACCCGCAAAGTCCATCTAATGATGATGTTCATTCCGTGGATAATCACATTTCTGGTATACTGTCCGGCTATTGTACTGTGGGAGATTGTTGCCGGGGTTGATGACCTTCCAGAAACAGTGTGTAGGATACCATTCTACAACAACTTGCCTTATCTTATGCTTGGTGCATTCGTAGAATTCGTCATACCGTTACTAATTATCGCTACACTTAATGTGATTATATTCCTTAATATCCGTCGCAGAGCAAAAGTTGGGACAATAATTGGACCAATAAAACCCCAAGTAGCAACCATACCGCTGCCATCTAGGACCAGCGTAGTAACTTCATCAAGACCAATTCAACGGGAAGTTAGTCGCGACAGAAAGGCTGCTAAGGCATTATTTATTCTCGTGTTTTGCTTTGTTGTATGCTGGTTGCCGTTTGAAGTTATGTCCATGTTGTCCAGTGTCTGGCCATTTGCTATTAACCCTGTATTATTTGAAGTCGGGTTTTGGATATTGTGGTGTAACTCGGCATTAAATCCAATCCTTTATCCATTTTTACACCCGAGGATGAGAAAAGCTTTTTTTAAAATAATTAGATCAAACTGTTCTTGCAAATGATTTTGATTAATAGTAACCATGGGGCAATTCAGCTGATTGTCTTGCTAATGTAACCAAAAAAATCAATACATTAACTTGTCAGTAACAGTTATCAATAAGTGGTCATCTATTAAATAACGATATTTATACCGTGTTCAGATAATCTACATTAGCAGTTCGAACCGGAGAATGAGGAATAATTTCTGATAGACACCAAATGTCCAAAGGCTAATAAACGTTCCCTTAACCAAAATGTTGTTCTTTAAATACATGGTAATCTAGATGATAAGATGCATTATGTGAGAGCTAAATCCGCCTTTTGTAGGTTTTATTTTGGCTTCAAATGTTATATAAACTGTTATTGAAACATTTATTAACTCTCTAGTTCATCGGATTACTCCGATTTTAAGTAGATTAGAACGCTTTGGTCATTTACTGATTTAATTTAAAATTGGAGAAGCGAGACTAGGTCTCTAATAACAAGTACCGTTGTTACGATAATAAACAATCAATAAACATATTGTCAAAACTCCAAACAGTGATAACTTCGCTCAGGATAAAGTAATATGAATGTAATTCTCCATATATACATTTTGCATTATCTATTTTTGAACTATTATAGCAAGAACAACCAGCTCTGCATCTAAATTTTACTTGATGCATCTTTAAAGTAAAAGACGCGGGTTAGATGCCACCATTCCATGTTTATAAATAGAAATCCCAATGTTATCTTACAAGTTTAGGACCAAAATAATGGCGATATGAACATGGTAAAAATTAATGTGAATTTTAGATGGTCATAAGGTATGTTGAACACGCGTGCTGTATGGTAATACTATTTTTTGATTGTATACCAGTACATTCTGCTAAATTCTAATGAAAGATGAAGGTCGTATTTCCCCTGAACCATGATTTGAACAACGGAGCTACCAACGGAGCTACATTGGCTGGTTAACCTGACCTAAATTTTACATTTAAAAAGTAGCAAATAAATAGCATATAGTATTATTCGACTGAGTGGTTACTTGTTGCTAACATGAATATACATTTATTTATTTCTATATATACTCTTCCAAAAAAGTAGTTTTGATATTGAAATGCAAATACCTATGCTTTGAGAGTGTTCACAGATGAAGAACTTATGGCCCCAACAGAGCCACTGAGTTGCTCGTCCGACACGCAGTAGCGCCATACACTTGGGAGGGGTTCATTGTCAAATTTGACACTTCAAGGAAGAGTTGATGAAAACTGTCGCTTGCTGGTTTATCCTATCCATGTTTGCTTTCCTATTGGGTCTTGCATAAGAATTACTGTTTAGCGTATCTTTGCTTTAGTGCGTTACGTTTAATTTGACTGGGAGACGTCGACCTCAACGTCAACCGACAACACTGCAAGAATTGGCCGTGGCACTGCAAGAGAAGTGGGTCAGATTGCCCCAAATCGTAATTGGACGGTTGATTAGGAGCATGCTGAATGTCTGAGGATTGGTGGAGCAATTACTCATTATTAAGACAAAAATCAAAAACGTCCATTTTCACTTTTGACAGTGTATCACTTTGCGAGTTAAATGGGGCCGTCAGATAGGCCGCCCATATGAACTGTTTATGGTCATGTGTAGGCAATTGGCCTGTTATTAACATACACTGGTTACCTCTAATAAAAACAGCAGTGTATTTCCGCAGTTTTGTATTGTTTCTGAATATCCCCTACTTTTTTTTGAAGAGTATATCAGTAAACAAACTGTGTTACCCGGCATGCAGGAGTAGAATTTATCAATATTACGTTTTAGTTTTTTGGGTTTTTCAGCTAATACAAAGGAACGACCGAGCGAATTGTTTGTTTTATTAAATCAAAATTTCCGAACAAACAAGCCAACAGTGAGGCTGATGTCCCCCGCCGAAATCCCAAATTAAATAGATGACACATTTGAATTAATAGCATATTTAATTTCTTCAAAAGTATCGAGCAATCAAACTATACACTAAGTTTCATCACAATCTATCAGATTGTGTCCTCACTCTCACTTAATTAGAACTGAAGTTATCGTGTCCCAAAGCATCAACGAATCAAATTATTTATCTCTGCTTACCCTAAGCAGAAAATTCTCATCTTCGAACTCCATCAACGCATTCACCTAATAAACACCTACGCCAATTGTGAACATTCTAACTCAATTAGAATGAGAGTTTTTGTGTTCCAAAAACTCGACCAATCAAATTGCTTATCGCTCTGCTTACACTCAGCAGAAGGTGCTCATTATCAAACTTAGTCAAGGTATTGATGTGAGTGTCCTCACTCTCACTTAAACATGCATTATGCAAGAGCAAAATCTGCTTATTACAAGTCTTTCTTTAGGCCTGAAATGTTATCTAAATTGTCAATTAGACATTAATAAACTCTCGATGTCAAGGCTAGCCTTCGATGTAATGCTGGATTAGATTCCTATATGCCGCTAACGGCCAAAGATAATTAAATCAGAAAAAGTGGATAATCGAGACTATGCTGTTTATATTAATGATTTTAGTAATGATAACCGAGACTATGCAAAAATTTCACCGGTTTCTTTCTCGGCTCATAGTGGATCAATTTGACTGAAATTTTCAGCAAATTACCTTTACACTATCTAGTTTTTAACTATTATAGCGAGAACTGCCATCTCTTTATCTTATCTCCCACAATGTATCTTTAATTAGAACTAAAATTATCGTGTCCCAAAGCATCAACTAATCAAATTGCTTATCTATGCTTACCCTAAGCAAAAAATGCTCATCTTCGAACTCAATCAAGGCAATGACCTAATAAACACCTACATCAAGTTTGAACATTCTAGCTCAAGAGAGTTATTGTGTCTCAAAAAAATGTGACAGGTAGACAGACAGACGGACGAACCCATTTTAATAGTTCCCTGCTTTCTTCGAAAGGTGGGGGGCAAAAACAAAGGAGCGAAGAGCCGCCAGTAGGAAAGATTTTATTTAGAAAACAACTGTTGCTGCTGTCATCAGAGCCCATTTTATCGTGCTACCGTGCTCTGAGAAATAAAAAGACTGAGAAAATTTCAATTTGGACAAAAAAGGCGCTAGATATCACTATGCAGTTCGGTTAGATGGAGAAAGCTCATTCCGTAAAAACTCCCCACATCCAACGTGTGACACATATTCTCTTCTTTGCTACATATTTTAATAGTTAGGACGTATCTTTAAAGGACAATATTGGTGTCAGTCATTATCACATATGTGATAGGACTGGTTAAACACGTTCCAAATATAATTTTAAAACAGAGATCATTGCTACGATAGATGCGTTATTGAGCTTTCAAGAAAGCGGAGTAACGAACGCAAAAGGAAAACACGAGTTATCCTTCTTCATAACTGACTGAAGTGACGAGTGATAACAGATACACGGGTAGGGTGCCCCACCATAAATAAATATCTCCAAATATCTCGACAATTACACCACAATATCTATATATACACCAAGCCTTAAATCAGTTTCAAACATTTATAGTCACTAAATAAACGGACATGTTGTACTTAAACGCTATGACCATTTAATCATCCATAAATAATACACTGAAAGATGGTTCCGAGTGTCGGCCATAACATCCGAACACATGTGAGTAAAAAATAGGTTACGTGCCCTTGTTTTGGAATTAGTCTCGCTTAACCAGTCTACCGACCATTCTACGTTTGATTAACAGGCGGGGATAATCAAGACTACTTTTTTACGAAACCTAGCAGAAAGCTGAAACAATAAAATGAATTTAGAAACACGCACGTTGGGCAACTCAACAATTGTTTTAAGAACCTTGTAAAATTAAAATGAAACTACTGCTAGTATCATGTTCTTGCCGAACGCATGTAGTTCAGAGATATTATTTGTACTAAACTAAAAGATGCGGCTCCTAATGTCACAGTTAATATTAAAGCAATTTAAAAAATAAAACGAACGTAATTTCTAAAGCTGCTGTAATAACCAATAAGCTAAATATTACTGCTATTCAAAATCGTCAACAATAGATTTTTTACGACTGTAATAGTTGATAGATATGTAGAGAATTGCACGTGCGATGGCTATTTATAGTATCATAGACCCTACCGCTGAGTATTATCATAGTGCGTAGTAAGCGAGAAATCAGTTCTAGATAAGCCACTGAAGCGTGTACATTCGCCGTGTCGAGACCAACTTTCTGTACGGAGAAAATTTTGGGTGCAGGGGTCACCCTAACACGGGCGAATTTCTGCTCACTAATAATTCCTTCGAAGACCAAAAATTGTACATGCCCGACCCCCGGGACAGAGCCGCGCCCATTTTTGTATTTGGGTTGGTTTTTTTTGTCACCTACAGGTCACAATTCTTAATGGATCAACTTGAAACTTTGCATACTTATTCCCTATACCCTAAGAATCACGCCCATTTTCTCTTTGCGTGACTGTGCGTTGCCTACGGGCCATAATTTCTAACAGATCCCTTGGAATCTTTGCATATCCATTCCTTATACCCTAAGGATGATCTCTATAGTTTTTGGTGAATGCCCGATCCTCAAGGACTGAGCCACGCTCATTTTTCTTTTTTTCTTTGTGTGTCTGTGTGTTGCCTACAAGCCACAATTTTTAATGGATCTTGGAATTTGATATACGCTAAGTATGACCTGTATTATTTTGGTACATGCCCGACCACCTGGGACTGAGCCACGCGTGTCTTTTTGTCGGCTATAGGCCACAATTCTTAACAGATTCCTTTGAAGCTTTGCATACCTCTTCCTTATACCCAAAGGATGACCACTATTGTCTTTGTTGAATGCCCGACCCCCAGGGACAGAGCCACTCGCAATGTTTTTTTAATATTTTGTCTGTAAATAATCTACAAGTTGCAATTATTAACAGATTTGGACCCAGTTCAGTATGATCCATCATAGGGTTGTAGATATTTATATTTGTCCATGTCCTACTCCCAGGAGTAAAGCCACCCAATTTTTGTATTTTGTCTACAGACTAGAATTCAGAATGGATCATCTTGGAACTATGTGTTGTTTTGCACAAATCTCGACCTAATATAGTACTACACATTGTACCAAACCCATACGAGTTATGATTTGTTGTTGTGTCGCTATAAATACTGCACGTCGAGCGTGTGTCCAATCTCACTCAGTCTCTCATAAAACCCGAGATTGCTAGAATTTACCTGTTCCATGGCTTGCCATTAAGATCAGCCAATAGGAGTTCGATGTCTTCACTCTAGATTGTATTCAATCAGAATCACGTTTATTTCCAGTTCTTCTTGATTCAACCGAATTTATTGTTTTCGGATATACGCTAGAGATTTTACTCTTGAGGTGGTATTAAATTTTTATAAAGTTCTAATTTCCGCTGGATCATACTTACATTTTGAACTTATTTTTCTTCAGTTGCATAAATCATCGGTATGAATTAATACCACCTACGTCGGTAGAAATGAATCAAAATCTACATATTAAAAGTATGAAAATTTTTGCTGAAAACACCATTTAGTAGCGGAAACCCATTCTACTTCAAACATAAAAGTCCCGTTATTATGAAAAACACATCAATAAGCTATGTGTGAATAGCCTATAACAACTTAACTACAGCACTAAATTGTATATATCTCTTTACGTACTAACAACAAGCTGTTATCCGACACGCTGTGACCACTGACCGACACGAAATGTCATCTGACAAACTCTTGTCGTTGATCGTTATAAATTTATAAATCAACTTGTATAGATTTATATGTATTTTTCATAAGAAATAATATCATACTATAAACTTTAAAATAACAGATGAATCAATTTATCAAAATAAACTGTGCAATTTGTGCAGTTCCCTTGAAGTCGGTTTGGGTTTTTGATTTATCCATAGTAACACGTGCTTTTCAAACAGCAACACATAGAAATGAAATGAAATGGAATGTGGTTTAACGTTCAGCTGTTCTGCTCTGACTGGGCTTATGGAGACGGGGATTCGCAATACAGTGTGCTATGGGGGAAGTTTTGCCCTGACAACGGCGCTACGGCCTACCCATATATCGAAAACCAATTGCCAAGGGATCTTTTAAGTGCATGCCGAGGTGTACACGGGACCTCGTTTTTTCGTCCCACCCGAACGACTAGATGCTGTCCGTGTCAGGCTCTTCGTCCTCCACCACTGATAAGGGAGATAACACGTCGGAAAATCTCGATGACCTTTCTCGGCCAACACTGGGAGCAAACCGCGACGCTCAGGCTATCGAGCCAACGTCTTATTCACTTGGTCACCGTGGCTCCAGCAAGCTATAGACCCAGGGGCAGGAATTTGGGGTTTAACAACAGAATAAATTGTGCCTTGTGGCAGCAAGGGAAGTCGGATATGAGATGGTTCGAAATGAAATATCGCTTAAAACAATTATGAAGACCCACCTCATAGACGAGAAGTGGTCACACTGGATTCTCATCTGCCCGTACGGGTCTTGTTTAAACTTTAAACCAAGAGCATTTATCAACTGTGGAATATATGCTCTGTTTACACGTTGAAAATGTATGCGAGTCTGAAAACCCTAATGTGGAATCCAATCACGAACGGTCAAATTAAGTTAGCCCTATAGTGATTAAGTTGCCGGGAGTAGCCTTTAAAAGATTGATGCATTTCGCTGTGACTTATATTAAAATTGTTGACTGATACCATTGTGATGATTATGATAAACTTAGTACTATATTATGGTTTGGAATGTAAGTATTTGTGTTCGTTCGGGAATATGACAAGATATTCGTCATGTGCAAATGTACCCAGTGATTTATGTGATATAACAAATCTTAAATGTTTGTTTGATTCAGGGGTAATTTCGTCTACATCATGTCCATTCAGATATTCTTATAAAACTTAAGAATTCGCAATCCATTATTGTAACTACTATCTGTAGCAGTTAGAGGAGCCATGTCACTGCAGCAATTTGCAGTGAAGTTATATGTAGGCCTGACCCCTAGGAGTGGGTTCTTAAATGGGGTTACCTCCCATAGTTCAGTAAAATTGATCACAAAGATGAGACCACTCTAGTCTTGTGGACGTAGCCATGTGCTCAGGGTGATCTAGGCTGGAATCTTGACGTATATTTTTTTGTTTATCCCACATAAAGTTGTCAACGATTGTTATCTCCCTAGGAATAAACTACTGGTATTTTGGGTAATGGTACGACTATTGAATGATTCAATCAATTTGTATGGCATCTTCAGTAGCCCTGAAAGTAGGGCGTCAAACCACATTTTACACTGTCTGGCGTCTTCATTAGGCCGGAGAAAAGTAGGACGTCAAACCCCATCGTTTAAACAAGTGCGAATTTATTCAACGAGTGCGAATAGAAGATTTTATCTCTATATATATAATGCAATTGGTGTTTTTAAAACGTCTTACTTTCTACTCCATACGGGCTAATGAAAACTGGCATTCAACATGCATTGTGTTCTGAGGGGAATTTTGCTCGGGCAGCGGAGTTTTTCGCCTATTCTTATTTTAAATTCCAGCTGCCAGGGGCACTTTTACGTGCACGCAAGCGTGTACACGAGACTTAAGTTGTACTGACCTTCCGCGAGACTAGATATCGTTCTTTGCCGGAGCCCTCGTTTTTGTCCCATCTAAACGACTAGATGCACGCGGTTGTTTGCCAGGACCTCTGCACCAATGACACATGGACCAATACATGTTAAATATACATACTTGAGTCTAGGGGATTATTTATGATGTTATTCAAAATTATTTATTTATTTTCTTGGTCAGAGTGAAAATACCTTTTTATATAGATCGTAGGGATCTAAATAGCCGGCAAGTAATGAAACATGAATAAAAAGGGGTTTAACGTCCTACTTTTCTTCTCCAGTCCAGAGCATGTGAAAATGTTCATGGTCATTTTATACATCCATGCTCAAAGGGGCATTATGGAAGATTAAATGTAGAGTTGACTGTTCTCACTATAATAGTTAAAAACTAGATAATGTAGAGGGAATATGCTTAAGATTTCAGTCAAATTGCTCCACTCTGAACCGAGATATTAGCGATTGAATTTTAGGCCTAGCCTCGATCATCATTACTAAAGTCGGTACGATAAAAAAAAACTTAATCTCGATTATCCATTTTTAGATTTTATCATTAATGAGCGTTGAGCAGCAGATCGCATTCAAATCGTGTTAATAAATGTCTAATTAATAGTTTATATAACATTTCAGGCCCCAAAGAAAGACCCTACAATAGGCATATTTAGCTCTTGTATAATGTATGTTTAAACATACATTATGCAAGAGCTAAATCCGATTATTGCAAGTCTTAATTTAGGCTTCAGATCTTATAGAAATTATAAATTAGATCTTTATTTAAACAACAAGCCCAAAATCAACTCTGTAGACCCACGGATGGCTCGGTTACAGCTTGGATTTAAATAGGATTTCACTGATTGATTAAATCAAAAATGGCGCCCCATGCGGAGATTATTAACCGTTACGTTGACGTCATCAGTTAGATCGAGGCCAAATGATTGAAAGTTCGGTATATACGGCCTTGATATTATGTTCAGTTGTGGTTAAAATGAGAGTTTGGGTGTTGGTATTATACACTCTTTTGTCACTTGCGTTTACAGAAAAGTTATGGAAATTGATAAACGTCGTAGCTAACATCACCCTAGTTGAATTGCCGTCCCATTGGATCACTGTAGTGTTTCCTATTTGTCTGCTTCGAGAGTCACGTAGTCACGTTACAGTACAAGTGTACACGCAGGCTAACAAGAAGTCGGCCATAATTATGCCTCATTGATTTGGTCCATTCCTTTCAAACTTTCGCTTCTTATCTATATAATAAAAGTCCTATTTTTAATTTGTAGTAAAAATAAATGTGATACAAATTGAATTGCAACCCCGTCTCAAGCCATTGAAAACGTTACTTGATAATCGAGATTATGTAGGTGGAGCTAACGCCTGTCAATCAAACGATCGGCCAAGGTGAAGATATATTTGACTACCATTTCTAGTCAAATATTACAACGATGATAACTTTGTTCAGAATAAAGTAATTAGTCTGAAATTTTCAATATATTCTTCTTTCATCGTCTACTTTTGAACTGTTATAGCACGAATGGCCAAATCTCTATAAAAATCTCCCATAATGTACCTTTAATATAGGATCGTTTCACAATATGTATGGCGAAAGCCCGTCTTCATTATCCCAGCAGTTTGCTAAAAGTGGGGCATTGCCTAAAATTTAAAATTATGATCATAAATATTACCACATTTCCACCAAATTTTAGACATTGGACACCAAATATCTCCGAAAAGCCCCCGTTAACAACCCAGAATTGAAATCTACTCAAAAGACTGATGCCGTTTTTTCGCCCCATCTAAACGAATAACCCTCTATTAGCATAGGGAAACCAGATAGTAACTTAGTCGACCAACACTGGGGTCTAACCCGGTAACACCTGGCTAGTAGAAGGGGACGTGTTTAACAGGTTAAGTATGCTTGATGTGTATTATGTTTAGTTTTTCTCGGGGAGGTCCGGGAGTCGCGTCAGTGGTGGAGGGGGTCGGGATTGTAAACAGAAGGATGGCTAAAGGGCACTGTGTCCCACTGGAATAAATACAAAATTACACATTTTATTTATATATTCAATTTTTAGAGCTTCTTTTCATTTGTTGTTACACATATAACATTTTAATCGAATCAATCTTAACATCCAGAGGCTTTTTATATAAATGATATAACCGGAGAACCGTATAACCGAGGCCAATAACCGGATAACCGTGTCACTCGCAATAATAACCGGATAGCTTTCTTGAAGAACCACCAGGACAATTTTGACAATTATCACCAGCCCAATATTTGTTATCTGTGCAACAAAAAGATGAACGTTTATGCCTTCTCAGTCCCTCAAAA